GACTTCCCCCGCTCTGTATGAGTGAATGTGAAAGCTGAACGACTAGAATTTATGCTGAGGGGAAGCAAATAGAGAATTAATTACAAGTCATCTGAATATCTTTTATGGGGGACCGTGGTCAGCCCAGCTAACCTTTTGGCTTTATTTTATTCAAGCCCCAGGAAGACGGAATGGAAGGCAAACCTACAGTCGTTACCAAACTCTTGAACTGGAGAAGGAGTTTCTCTTCAACCCTTACCTGACTCGCAAGAGAAGGATCGAGGTGTCCCACGCCCTGAGCCTCACCGAGCGGCAGGTGAAGATTTGGTTTCAGAACAGGAGGATGAAGTGGAAAAAAGAGAACAACAAAGACAAGTTTCCGGGTCAGAGAGGAGAAGCTGAAACTGAAGCTGAAGCTGAAGCCGAGGCTGAGGCTGAGGCGGAAGAAGAGGGCAACGAGGACGGTGAAGTGGAAGAGGCAGAAGAGAAAGAAGCGGAAGAGAAAGAAGAGACCAAGGAGTGATTTTATGGTCCTTTTTATGGTTATATGGCTGAAAAAGAGAAAAAAAGAGAGGTCCCATAAACAGACGAAGAGTCACAAGGAGGCAGAGAGCGTCCACTTTATGACCACCCCTTTCATTTTGGCAAGAGGCAACAGGAATCCCTCTTAATATTGCTGTCATAAATAGGCAAAATTATCCCTTCTCGCGATTATTCTAAAATGAGTTGCATTCTGATTTTTCTGTAGAAGCTTCAAATGTTCAAAGCTTTAGCATACTTTATTTGATAGAACAGTCGCCCTTGCAAAAAAAAGGGTAAATTAAATCGCATGTAAGATGGAAAATGGCTTCGCTATTTTTTACAATTTGCTTTGAATAACTGCGTCAAAAGCATAGCCAATTAGGATAATTAATATCAAAACGTGACCAACGCCGACCTTTGTTGTAAATAGATTATAGCTTACATTTAAAAGAACATGAACGTCATTTCAGAGTAGCCTTTCCGAAAATGTAAGCGAAATGTAGGCCTATAACTTAGTATTAAGTGTTCAAACATCATCGCAGCAGTTGCATCGGTTAACGGCCTGTGTAGAAACCACAAGTTTTATTATTATAATTGTTACTGTTACTGTTTTACTCGTTTTCATGTGAATGGCCTAGACAAAGATAGCCATTAGCTCCTCAGACATCTTTTTCTAGGATTTACCAGGGAATTGCAATCGTTTGAAATCCTTTGATGCTACCTAAACCTGGGGGAATTGCAATAGAGATTTCTGAATATAGAGATTTCATATGGTTTTAATTTTAAAAGTGTTCTATATCAACATTATATTATTAAGTTATGTATGTAGCATTTACCCAATATACAATATTACACTTGTTGAAGACAATTTGTGAGTCTTGGGAAAGACAATTAGCTCAAAGCCAAGCAAACAATTTTGAGATTGTACTACGGCACTACCTAAACTCAGAGCCTTGCCTTTGCTGAATTTATATTCCTCACTTGTGGCATTGCTCTGACTTGATTGCAAGCTATTTCCCCAACAACTAAAACTGCCTATAACGCACATGAACTGTGTAAGATAAAACCTGCTACAATTACAATGATTTTAAAGTAAGGGATTTTTTTTATTTTAATGTGCTGGTGACATAGCGTAGTTGTTTTGCACTGAATATAATCTTTATGTACGTCTTGTTATATATTGATGTTAACAATATGCTCGTTTCCTGGTGTTTCTCCTGTGAAAGACAGAATTGTGTGTCCCCGCCATTGTTGATGTAAAATCACAAATAAACAAGATGGCTCACTACCATTTCTGTTTTTTATTTATATTACAGTCTCGTTTACTGACATGATTACCTCCCCCCC